AATTATTTAAAAAATATCTTATAAACTTAAAATTTCTTTTAATAAAATTAATAAAATATATATTAAACTATATTTTTTATATTATTATTATATTACTAAAATTAATATTTAATATTTTATTAAAAAAATAACATATTTTTTTAAGTTCGCAAGCAAATTTACCTGCTAGACAATTTAAGGAATAAAATAATAAAAATAATGTAAATTATAAAAATAATAAAAATAAATGAAATAAATTACGGATATTAAGAAAATTACAAGTAAAACTAAGTAGCTAACAGGAACCGTTGAACGTCTGAAGTGAGCATCATGCTATCACATTGAACTGGATGAGTGTTACACCTACATTTAATTTAGTATTACGTTACATTTAATGATTTAATATTGAATAATTGTGAGATAAATAATTGTAATTGTGAGATAAAATATTTTTTTTTCATTTGTATGTAATAGAATTTGCAAAAAATAATATAATAATTACAAAAAATAATAGTCTTTATATCTATGAATAAGAAATCATTAAGGTTAATCGTCTTTCTTCAAACAACCTCTCCTGCAACCTCTTACATTTTTTAATATGCTGAAGTCTTTTAAATGAAAATGGTCTAAAAAGGGCATTATTGAGAGCACAAATTCTGAAAATTGCTACGAACGAGAGACCTGCAGCATATTCTTTTTCTCCAATATTTATTATAGCCTTCTTTACTGTTAGTCCTTGACTCTTGTAGACGGTAATAGCCTACGTAAGACTGATAGAGATTTGTGTTCGCGAACAAGTTCCTTTTTTTGCAGTCCAGGTATGACTAATGGGTGGAACTGGAATAAGCTTTTTACCTTCTTCAGTTATAATAGCAGGGCTAGTATAATTATCAAACTCTGTTAGGACCGTCTTGGGAAAAAAGGGAAGACCATGATCTTCTTCAAACACAATTTCTCAGATGATACTCATAGAACTGTTGACTAAATCTACTTCTACCCATAAATTAGCCTTGAGCATAACTCGCATACCCTTCGATAATAATAATTACGTCTTAAGGCCCTTTGCTATATCAGGATCGGCCCTACGTACTTCATTACTACCTGTGTAAATGGCATTAATTTTCGCAATTGGACAGTTCAAGAATTTCAATTTATTAACATTGAATTCGACAATATTAATTTTCTGAGATAAGATGCATGTAGTATTTGAAAATTGTTTATGCTCAATAGATAATATAGTTAGTGCATTCATAAATCTTTTGGAAAGTGTTTTCCAATCATCTAAAGTTGATTCACCATCACGTAACTATAGTAAAATGTCTCTAAAGTTACGTTGCTTATCTGAGTCACCTGATTGACATTAAATAATATCGAGTTTGTAGACCTTCTAGAATTGACTGTATACCATAATACCATTGTTTGATAATGTATCATACTGAGTAATGATAAGGGACGAAACCCCTTAATAACAGTCGAAACTTAGACGAAACTATATTAAAATAATAATAAGGGATACGACGAAATCCTTTCGATACGACGAAAGCCGAAACTGTCGAAACTATATTAAAAACATAGAAAAGGATATGACGAAATTATTTTGAGGAGGTTTCGGCAGGCATCTATAATACTGAGAGATTTTTGAATATATTAGTTCATCAAGAACTAGTGGTAATTGACCAAAATTACCAACTAAGATAACTGAACGATTACTAAAAATATGGTTTTTCTGTTTGGGAAATGCTTAACATAATCGTACATCAATCAAAGAAAGCATCCTTTATCCAACCATGCTTTTTTTATCAATAATGAAATAATACACACATTTAATTTTTTTTGTAGTTGTTTTAGACGTTCACCATCTATATCAAGGTTATCGGTATTAGTAATTAGAATTGAAAGCATTGAATGTATTATTATGCCTTGAATATTAAACGCAGTAACTCCAGTTAGTGCAAAGACAAATACTAGCAAAGTATTAATACCGTTACTTCTTGCAATCTCCCTGAGTCAGTTTCTAATCATTTTAATTAAATATGACTTGCCAGTTCCTGCTATTCCCATTAAAATGAGTTTAAGCGATTCGATCTGATAAGAATTCGTAATCAATGCATTATAATAAGATTCAATTCTTTTAAAAACTACCATCTGTTTTTCATTCAACAATTGACAATCTACAGAAGTCAAATTTTCATCATTAATAGTATTATTGTCATTAATAATGCTATTATTACGAACTTATTGTATAAAAGTATCTACGTCAGTAAGGTCAAAGTTAGGATTATTTTGTTTAGCATCGCTAATCCAATTATAATTTCGATCAATGCTATGTGAACCTAAGCCAGAAAAATTTTTAAAAATAGTATTATTTGGCCCCATCTCTGATAAGATCATCCAGTCAGGTTATGTTTTTCTTTTATTATCACTTTCTTTCAGATCTTCATCACTTTCTTCTTTCTCATAAACAAATTCATTTTCTACAGGGGATTCGAATAAATCATGTTCATTTTCAATCTTTTCAAGATGTTGAACAAAGAGATTCGACCATAACACAGTGTTATTTTCGGTTAATTGAAAGAGGTCTCAGTGGCAAACGTGAAGCAAAACCTTTACTTGACAAAATTCTTTCCATTGTGGACTATTACGCAGAGGAGACAGGCATGGCCAAATTCGCATGATATTTTCTCGCTCACACTGCTTTCATTGGCCTCTATAAAAATTGTACTTTAAATAAAGCTGAAAAAGTGAGATGTTTTCAAGTTCAACGGGTCATTTCCAGTAATTCTGTAAGGGTAAATATACAGTTCGTTTAACTTCATTATTTAGTAAGTGTGATCTCCTCTAGATCCACAAAGCCATCACAGAGTTTCTTTATTAAGATTTAGACTGACAAACTGACAACTCGAATGATACAATGGAAGCCTAAGGAGAAGATAGCTTATCTTCTGGGTGAAAATGTCCCGTTCTGCGATAGTATGAAGTAATAATTTCTGAAATATTACAAGTGACGAATCATCAGGACCACTCTTACTGATAATCTGTTTTAATATTTCTGAGAAAGTTTTAGATCTTATTTCAGATTTGCTTGCATATTTTGCAATATATTGTAAAGCTGAATCAATGTCAAGAACTAGCTTCAAGTCTACATTCGCACGTCATCTTTGGAGTTAGAGTTGATCATGAGGATTGATATAAGGATTGTTTCTAGCCATGAATAACTCAAGTTGACCGTTCTTATCATCAAGGAATATGCTTTCTACAGTTTCTTTTGGGTAGCCAAATCTATAGTATTCTTCTTTCTTTTTATTTATACGAAGACAATATAAGGCATTACATCAAGTGTGTTTTTGTAATTTGTTGATTAACTCGATGTAGTCCTGTATATTATAATTGATCTCTTCAGTATGTTTCTGACATGAATGACAATCTGATACAGGTGCGAAAAGTCTAGGATTCATTGTAATCATCAATGAATCTAAGTATCGTATCACTTCATTCATTTTCTCTTGATTTCCTTTAATTTCATCCCATATAATATTTGGTACATCCTTTTATTTTCTGTTTCTATGAATATGTGTATTTCCACGGTGCTGCCATTTAAAACAGTACCAATAATCCTCAAAATTCCACTTAGGAATTAGTACCTTTTCCAAGAATATCTTAAAGCGTTTTTCAAAAAATCAGGCAGCAATATGTGAATTGCTAATTAAATCTTTTCATTTATCTAGCTCTTCCTCCTGCTGTTCTGTTGATGGGTTCTCTCCATGCGACATAAGCTTGTAAAGATCTGGCCAATGTAAATCTGCAACACTGAAAGTGAAGAATATCATTCCCTGATGTTCAAGCTGTTTAATTATATCTTTTAGCTCAGATCTTCTCTTATTCTAAAACTGCTGAGTTTCACATAAACCCTCATTGAATCTTAAGATTTATCAGCAGTATTGCTATCTTTCTCGATCATCTCCTGAACCTCTTTAATGGTAAGTTGTTTACTATTTAAATTTTGCTTCACGTATACTTTTGTCTTCTTGCAATGCTCTCCATCCCATCTGCGAGTTTAGTGCAAAGTACTACCATCTAATATGTTGTGCAAATCTTCTATCCTTATATTTCAGTAAATGCAAACACTATTCAGCTGATTTTATATCTCTAATGTATTCCAATCTGAGGTCAGCATTTCTAGTTGAATACGGGTTGGAAATGCTCGTGCAATGTATCCTGGTATCCTGAATTCATTAATAGGACTTTCACCTATATTTGGCCACATTATATGAGTCTTATTATTGTCATTTTTCATTCTTTTAAGAGTATCGGCAATAGAAGATTCTTCATTTGGAGATGAAAGAGATGTAAGAACAAAATTACTAACTATAGTATCTTCAGTTTCAGTATTATCATTTTCAAGAATTTCATCTACTGTCTCTTCAAACTGGGGAAGCTAATCATCAACAAGACTATTATCAGGTAAAGATTGCAATATTTCTTCATCAATGATAATATCAGAATAATAGCGATTATTTATTTTTAACCAGTAAAGTGCGTGAGTAACCTTACTATAATGAATATTGAAGTCTCTAAATGTTAAAGCATTTGAAGACTGACAATGAACAATATTCTGCAATAGTTTTTGGTCAGATTCAGGAAGTTGCTGTTTAAGACTCTGGTTGTAGTTAATGTTCCTATCAATGTTTTCTAAAATAGATCTTACCCTTCTTTTACGCATTCATTCACATTGCTTACTAAGTCTTGTTTCACATTGCTCAATAGTTTCTTTAGCAAGTTTCTTCCATTTATATTCATGATTATAAGCACAATGCTTTTCTTGTTGATCAGAAGTTTCATTTTCCCTACTTTTACGCTTTTTAAGTATTTCAAGACGAATAAAATCAGGTTCGTTATCCATTTTTTAACATTTTTAATGATTTTAACAATGAAATAAATAACATAAGAAAGATCAATCGATATTTATTTATTCATTAATTAACTTTTTTATTTTTATAAGAAGGTATACAAGAAGATTATTTATTATAATAAAAGCAACAATTGTACAAAGAAAGAGAGAAGATTTAATTTATTAAAATACATCTTTATGTTTTGTTTACAAATCTAATAGTTTAATGAAGTTTAATAATAAGTCTATCAATATCGAAAGTTTAATTTACTGTTCAGTATTAAAATTTAATTTATTATTAACATTATCGAAAGTTTAATTTAATTATTTAACAGCATCAAATAGTTTAATTTAATTATTTAACAGTATCGAAAAATTTTGTTAAGTTTTTTATAACATATAAGTCACACTGATCACATGTGTAACTGACAAACATTTTCACCTTTTGCACAGTATGTTAATTTTCTTAGTTACACAATATAACATATAAGTCACACTGATCATATGCATGATGATAAAAATTTTTACCCTTTGCACAATATGTTAATTTTTCCAGTTATACAACATAACATATAGGTCACATTGATCATGTACGTAACTGATAAACATTTTCACCCTTTTGTACAATATGTTAATTTTTCTGGTTATACAATATAACATATAGGTCATACTGATCACGTGCGTAACTGACAAACATTTTCACCCTTTTGTACAGAACGTAATATCCTCCACTGCGTTTCGGACAAATATACTTTTATAGATGTCATAAAAAAAATTTATATTAAAAAATAAGCTCATAATTATTTAGTAATACATAGAGAAGACTTATTATAAGCAAAAAGGATATAATAAAATGAAAAATAGTTTTATTATTAATGAGAAGATATTATATAATAACCTTATGAATATAAAACTATTTTGGCCAATCTATAATAAAAAAAATAATATGATTAAAAAAATACTCTTATATTAACTTTTAGTCATATATAATTTGAAGAGTTTTGTATATCTTTATATGTTTTTCAAGCTATTTTCAACAAATTGATAAGAATAGCATTTTATATATATTGATTACCATTTTTCTTATTAGTTTATTATTATAATTATATATTATCAATCTGTATATAATCTCATCATCAAGATAATATCCTTCTATAATATTTCATATACAATTATGATATAAAACCTAAGTTATGATAAAGTATTCTTCAAGATACTTAGTAATCAATTCAATATTAATAATCTTTAGATTAATTGTTTTATTTTACAATATTATAAATGTTAAATATAATTTACTTTAATCATTATTATATATGTTATTTAAAATATATTGGTAATATTAGATTATTTCTAAACATGAATATTATGATAATTGTTTATATTTAAAATAAATAAATTCTTTGAATAATTTACAAGAACTTTCTTAACATATTTCTCATACTTAACAAATTTTTTTTTATAATCTATCTATCAATATTAACATTATAAAAATATCAAGATTAACTATTATATTAAGGTCTTCATTACTTATACTTATTGAATCTTATAAAAACTAAGTTCAAATTTAAAAAAATTACTTTTATATTATTTAATAATACTAGTAGATAATATATAAAAACTATAGTCTATCATTTATTTATTATATTTAAATAGTCAAATAGTCAAATAAAGCAGATCAAAAAATCTTGTAAACTTGATTTAATTTTTTGAAATATTTTTTATCATAAAAAAAAGAAAAAAGAAAAAAAAGATGAGTAGAAGAGGAAAAATTATAACGAAAATAAAAAAAAATAAAAAAATATAAAAAAATAAATAAAAAAATAAAAAAACTGGAGGAATTAAAATAAAAAATGAAAAATGAAAAATGAAAAAAGATAAAAAAGATGAAAAAATTAATAACTAAAATGTAAAAAAAATAAAAATAAAGATAAAAATGAAAAAAATGAAAGGAGAGAGAATGAATTAAAATGAAAATAAAAAAAAATAAAAAAAAATAAAAAAAAAGAAAAATAAATAAGAGGGTGAGGAAAATTAAAATTAAAATAAAAAATAAAAAATATAAACAAAGATCGAAGGGAAAGAATAATAGAAAAAAATAAAAAAAATGAAGAGAGAAAATTAAAATGAAAATAAAAAATAAAAAAATAGAATAAAAGAAATAAAGAAAATTAGAAGGAAAGAATAATAAAAAAGTAAAAAAAATAAAAAACGAGGGAAATAAAAAAATTTAAAAAATTGAAAAAAGTTCAAAGGGTAAAAAAATAAAACGATCAGAAAAAAAGATAAAAATAAAGTAAAAAGAATCAAATTAAAAATAATCGATCAAAATATAAAAAAAGAAGTAAAAAAAAAAAATAAAATAAAATAAATTGATTGATAAATTGATCAATTTATTGATTAATTTAAGATAAATTAATTTATTCATTCTTAATAAGTAAGACTAACTTAAATTAAGTTGAGTTTAATTTGAGTTCAAATCAAGTTGAATTAAATATTTAACTCGATTTAAATTTAGCATGATTTACAAATTATCATATAAACTTAATTTGATTTAAATTTGACTTGACTTATTTAACTTAAGAGTTAATTTAACTGTCTAAAATTCTAGTAATATATATACTTTAATTTGTTTAATACATTTGCTTATATTTTATTGAAAGATATTATTTAAAGAATTTCAAAAAAATAAAATTATATAAATAAAATTATATAATTTTATAACTGTTCTTTTTATTTAAAATAGTTTTTTCTGAAGGTTTAACTTAAATTTATATTATTAAACTGATTTGCATTTGATATTAATAATTATTTTTAATCAGATTAGTAAAATTTACAATATAAAATTTAATAAACTTATTAAATAATTTGATTAAATATTATTTTTTTGAAAAGTATAATTCTTTTTTGATATAATAAAAGTTTTTTAAGTGTTAAAGTGCAAATTATTTTACATAATATATTTATTAATCAATAGCTATTTTTTATTAAGTAAAATCATATATAAATTAATAAGACTAATACAAAATAATAATTATTAAAATTAATCTAAAAAAAAAATATATCAAAAATACTACTATTTTTCTTTAAAAATGATATTTATTTATTAATCTTAGAGATAATCAAATCTGTTTTACAAAAATTTAATTGTTTGCATCTAAATATAATAGCTTTTAAGAATAAATACTGCAGGAATTAATAAATACTTTTTTATAATTTGAACTAAAATTAATAAAATAATTTTATTAACTAACTATTATTTTAATAGATTATCTTTCAATCTGATTTATTTTTGTTATAAATAAAGAATTATTTCATTAATATCTTTTATACTTCTTTTCTTATTTTTTAATATATTAAAAATATCATCATCATTATTAGAAAAACTATAATACTAATAATACTATTATAAGGTAAAAATATTTTTTTTTATATTTTATACAATTTTTAAACTAACTTTTTAGCTTTGTCTTTACTATTATTATTATACTAATTAAAATTTTTAAAATAAAATTCCAAAAATATTATTAATAAGCAAAATATCAAATGATACTAACTAAGCTTATCTAAAAAAAATAGTTACATAACCTTTTTACAATAAACTTTTAGTATTTACTAAAGTTTTAAATAAGTCAGCTTAATTTAGCTTACTATTAGTTTTAACTGAACTATTTTTATTTTAGCTTAGCTTAATTTAGTAGTAATCAATTACAATTTAAGTCAAGCTAAGTCAGCTCATTTAGTTTATATTTATTTTTGAAATTTTTAAAATGCTCTAAAAGTTAAAATATTATAAAAAAATTACTTTAAAAGTAAAATTCTACAAGAAAATTACTTGAAAGTAAAATCCTTTAAAAAAATTACTTTAAAAGTAAATTTCTTAAAAGAAATTCAGTCCTATTGCATTTATCTTAAAGTAAATGTATTTTTTTAACAAAATTCTATTAGATGTATTTTTTTCAAAGAAATTATTACTGAATGCATTTTTTTAAAAGAAAATATCACTAGATATATTTTCTTCAATAAAAATATTATTGAATGCATTTTTCTTCTAAAAAAATATAATCAATATCTTTTTTTTTAAAAAATTGCTATTAAATTAACTTTTCTTTAAAATATAGATTTGTTTTCTTCAAAAAAGAAAATGCATACTCATGAATTGATCTATATGAGCTATAATATAAGTTGGCTTATCTAGCTCATAACTTATTTTATAATGATCAAGCTGAGTCTAGAGAAGTTGGTTAGTTTAGCTTACAAGCAGCTCAATTTATGCAAAGCTTTAATATTTACTATTTGTAAATATTCTACAGTATTAATATTATTCAAATTTAGTTTAACTAAATGAGTTACAGATATTTCACTTTTTTATAATCTTAATGTTAATCTTAATTTTGTATATTTTCATATTTTTTATTATGAAATTGATAATGTAAATATAGCTATATTATTTATTCTACCTAATGAAATATATTTATCATTATTAAATATATCAAAATCATTATCTTTACTTATAGATTTATAAATTAAACTGATATAAATATCTAAAGTTTCATTATTTTTCTTATTTAATACAAATTATTTTTAAATTTATACAAATATAGAATAATAAAACTTAATATTGAATAAGTTACATCATTAATATTATATATTAAAGTTTTAAAAAAATTTAAAAATTAATCATTTATTGGAGAAATCTATTAATAAAATAGAAAATTAATTAAAAATTTAAATTTATATAAAAATATAAGCAAATTTACATTTTTTTATTTAGACTTAAACATAATCATTTTTTCTTTTTGTAATACTAGTGAATAGATTTATAGAAATATTTTTCATAAAATTATGTAGCTCAAAAACTAAATTTCATATTAAATATATTAAATTATATTTAATTTTAACATTTGTTAAAATTTTTAATTTATTTATATACAGTATTTGTTTTCAAATAAAATTATTTAAAAATTTTGTTAAACTATATAAAGTTTTTTAGCTTGCTTAAGTAAGCAAAATAT